CGACCTGTTTGTTTCCTCTCCACCTATCCTCTCCTCTATCCATCTTCTATCCACCTCCCACTCTCTCCCTATTTATTTCAGAACCCCCTTCCCCTCCCCCTTTTCTGATGAAGGGTCTAGGCCCGAAACGTCAGCCTTTCTGCTCCTATGATGGTGCTTGGCCTGCTGTGTTCATCCAGCCCTGCACCTTGTTGTCTCGGAATCTCCAGCATCTGCAGTTCCTACTATCTCTAAAGATGATTGGGCCTTGGAGAGGCTTCATCAGCTAAAGGGGGTAGACTATTAGTGCCATCGTTCACCTTGGTCACAAACACCCTACAGCGCCTGTCATATAACTTACAAGAAAACTGCTTTTCAAACTGAATGTACACATTACAAGATGCTGCATTCAAGCAAACTTTAAGCCATTACTGATGGTGTTGGCTGAACTTCCAGTTCATGTATTTTCTAAGGATCTGATATGGAGCTGGATCGAAGCCTGCATTCTCCTGTGGAGTCTTCTTGGGCTGATTAATTCGGATTGGGAGGAGGCTCAGTAATGATAGGTGGAACCGGCAAATACAAGAAAGGGTGACTGAGCGAGACTGTTCAATACATGGGGTTTCGGATCTTTTAAGTCCGGTCAAATGGGCAACAATGGTATACCCGTGCTCTTTCGATTAGGCAATTGCAAACTGCTCCTTTGAACAAAGGGTTGCAAACATGTTCCATTCTTGAGTCTGTTCACAAAATCTTTTGTACACAATTCGGAACACAAGATAGGACAGTATAAAATAGCTGTGCACAAGTACGGTGAAAGCTTTACATGTTGCACCCCTGTATGGGATCACATTCATAAGTTCTTTTTTTTAATTCATTTGTGGGATGTGCGTGTCACTGGCTGGCCAGCATTTATTGCCCATCCCTAGTTGCTCTTGAGAAGGTGGTGGTGAGCTGCCTTCTTGAACCACTGCAGACCACCTGCTTTGGGTTGACCCACAATGCCATTAGGGAGGAAATTCCAAGATTTTGACCCAGCAACAGTGAAGGAACAGCGATATATTTCCAAGTCAGGATGGTGAGTGACTTGGAGGGGAACTTGCAGGTGATGGTGTTCCCATATATCTGCTGCCCTTGTCCTTCTAGATGGAAGTGGTCATGGGTTTGGAAGGTGCTGTCAGAGGATCTTTGGTAAATTTTTGCAGTGCATCTTGTAAATAGTACACACGGTTGTTACTGAGTGTCAGTGGTGGAGGGGCTGGATGCTTCTGGATGTAGTGCCAATCAAACGGGCTGCATTGTCCTGGATGGTGTCAAAATTTTTTTTGTTGTTGGAGTACGCCCAATCAGGCAAGCGGGGGCTTTTCCAGCACACTGCTGACTTGCGCCTTGTAGATGACAGACAGATTTTGGGGAGTAAGGAGTTGAAATACTTGCCACAGTATTCCTAGCCTCTGACTTGCTGTTGTAGCCATTGTAATTATATGGCGAGTCCAGTTCAGTTTCTGAGCATTCGAGCATTGTGAATGAGTGTTCACAAGTTTGATGCTTGTCAGTTGTTGGCCCCATGTACATGAAATTGTTATTGCATTCTACAGTTTCTGTAATCTGAAGTAATCTCGATGTCGCATCTGTTGAATCTGGGTAAGAAAAGAATGCTGATTTCTGAGCATTGCTTTTTGACCTCAGTATGTGGCAAGAGTGTCACCTTTTGACAGTTAGAGACTGTGTTGGCCCAACTTGACTCATATCTTCCAACGAAACAAGCCAGCCCAACAAATTTGATCATGCAGAATGTAGGCAGGATCCAAACCAAACTAAACCGAACCAGAATACACTGGTGGGTTCCTGTGAAAAGCACACGCCACCCACTTTCTTGGAGTCATAACATGTTCAAAAAATGTGTGTGGCACTGCAGTTTATGCATGTATGTCAATCCAACTTTTGCTGACCTTTCTCCAATTATTATCGTTAATCATCTCAGTGTGTCTGCCATTGTCGACTGCAGTGACCATTCTACAATATATCTTGCCATAATCATTAGGTTGCTTAGTATCCAACCATGTGACATGCCCAGAGAGGAGAAAGAACAAAACTTGTGCAACATTTGTACACTTGTTGTTGCAATCTACCTCTTGTAGAACCGCCCAGTGCTAAAATAAAAGAGAGATCTCTTCCCAGCCAGAAAACATTGTGCAAACACAGAACAAAATCAAAAATATGGCAACCGCAGTTTCTGCAAGCTTCTTATTTTTAGATTAAAACAGGCTGGTTTGTCAGCCCATAAAAAAAAATCTGCAAAGCACAGTGGGTGGCTAACCAACAAACTGCGTTCACTTTATGCATTTTTATCTAAACATATGGGAGCATTTTATTTAGCTTCTTTGGGAGGGCAATGGCGATTTAGTCATTGCTGGCTACTTTCTTCCTCTGGCTCAGGGATATCCTCTCTTTGCTCCTTCCAGGTCGAATATAAAACTTCATATGGATTCCGGCTAATATTTAACAAGGTCTGTCAGAATGTTTTTAAGAAACACACACCAGGTGGAAAGAAGCAGTCAATCCTTCAAACTACTACAATGAAGATTCTCCAGACAAATCCCAGATCTGGTAATAATGTTAAACATCCATATTGTTCTATTGATATCCGTATTCATATTAAAAAGCAACAACAATATGTGCACATAAGGCTACTGCAGAAATGTACAAGGAGAAGGAGGACAAAATGAAATCATTACTGATTATCACCAGATTTCTGTTAGAGAGTCTCCCCTTTAGGTTCCCGTTAAAGAGAGAGTCTCTCCATCAGGTGCAGTGGACAGCGAAAGTGGTTAGCTCAGAGTTCAATGGGACCGTGATCAGATGGGCCAATAGGCCGAGGAGTGGGCGATGGAGTTTAATTCAGACAAATGTGAGGTGTTGTATTTTGGAAAGGCAAATCAGGGCAGGACTTATACACTTAATGGCAAGGTCCTGGGGAGTGTTGCTGAACAAAGAGACCTTGGAGTGCAGGTTCATAGCTCATTGAAAGTGGCATCGCAGGTAGATACGAGAGTGAAGAAGGCATTTGGTATGCCTGCCTTTATTGGTCAGTGCATTGAGTATAGGAGTTAGGAGGTCATGTTGCAGATGTACAGGACATTGGTTAGGCCACTTTTGGAACACTATGTTCAATTCTGGTCTCCCTGCTATAGGAAGGATGTTGTGAAACTTGAAAGGGCTCAGAAAGGATTTACAAGGATGTTACCAGGGTTGGAGGGTTTGAGCTACAGGAAGAGGCTGAATAGACTGGGGTTATTTGCCCTGGAGCGTCAGAGGCTGAGGAGTGACCTTATAGAGGTTTATAAAGTCATGAGGGGCATGGATAGGGTAAATAGCCAAGGTCTTTTCCCCAGGGTGGGGGAGTCCAATACTAGAGGGCATATTTTTAAGGTGAGAGGGGAAAGATTTAAAAGGGACCTAAGGTGCAACTTTTTCATACAGAGGGTGGTGCGTGTATGGAATGAGCTGCCAGAGGAAGTGGTGGAGGCTGGTACAATTACAACATTTAAAAGGCATCTGGATGGGTATATGAATAGGAAGGGTTTAGAGGGCCAAAACCAGTCCAGCTTGTCCCCGCCTCCCTAACCTGTTCTTCCTCCCAGCTATCCCCTCCTCCCACCTCAAGCCGCACCCCCATCTCCTACCGACTAACCTCATCCCGCCCCCTTGACCTGTCCCTGGACTGACCTATCCCCTCCCTAACTCCCCACCTACACTCACCTTTACTGGCTCCATCCCCGCCTCTTCGACCTGTTTGTTTCCTCTCCACCTATCCTCTCCTCTATCCATCTTCTATCCGCCTCCCCCTCTCTCCCTATTTATTTCAGAACCCCCTTCCCCTCCCCCTTTTCTGATGAAGGGTCTAGGCCCGAAACGTCAGCCTTTCTGCTCCTATGATGCTGCTTGGCCTGCTGTGTTCATCCAGCCCTGCACCTTGTTGTCTAGGGTTTAGAGGGATATGGGCCAAATGCTGGCAAATGGGACTAGATATATTAATTTAGGATATCTGGTTGGCATGTATGAGTTGTACCGAAGGGCCTATTTCCGTGCTGTACATCTCTATGACTCTATAAAGAGACAGTCTCTCCATCAGGACCCCGGTTAAAACGAGTCTCTCTCCATTAGGTTCCTGTCAAAGAGAGAGTCTCTCCAACAGGATTCCTATTAACATGAGTCTCTCTCCATCAGGATTCCTGTTAAAGGGAGAGTCCTAGATCCTATTAAAATGTATCTCACCGTTGGGACCTCTGTTAGACTGGAAGACCATAAAACATAGGAGCAGAAGTGCACCATTCAGGCTCTTGAGTCTACTCAACCATTCAATAAGATCATGGCTGATCTGATAATTCTCAAATCCTATTCAACGGTGGATCTTACCGTGAAGAGGTAAAATAAAGAAAGTTGACCCACTTCTGCTGTCCTAGTTCCAACTCTAGACAGAAGATACTATGATGGAAATTAAAATAAATTTATGGTAGGCCCAATGTGCTGTCACAGACACTCACACTTAGCCCTGCTGCACACGGCAATATTTTTCTGAAAGGAACATGTGCACCTAAACCTGAATTGTGACATTTATCTCATTTTCATTTGTCATCACACAATGACATCTTTCTCAGATCAGTCTTAGTTGACTATGGCCAACAACAATCGTGTAATTCAGGAACCGTGTTGAGAGGTATTTTCAACATGAAGACAGCAAGCAGATTACAGAGGGAGCAGTGCCAAGTGGTTTGCTCAGTCAGGGAGATAGTGCAGACAAAGTGGGCTGAATGGCCTCCTTCTGTGCTGGGACAATCCTGTTATTCTGAGCCATGTATGTAGCACTGGCAACGGGAATGGGAAATAAGCGAACTCTCCAGGTGGAGTATATGTTGTCAAAGACATGTTAAAAAGGAATATTTAATTCTTCCCTCAGCAGGCGGAAATAAACAAATTCAACAGGACGCTGGCTTTTATTGTCTGGTCTGTTTCCTTACCTTATCCTTCGCCTCGGCTAGCAGATCCTCCATCTCTGAAAAGCTGAAGCTAGCGACAGTAATGAAGTCACTCATGACTGGAACAAACTTGTCCTCAATGTCCCGTGCTCGACGTTTCTGATATTCCAGTTCCTGGGAAGGGAGGTAGACGGGAACAAAACAGTCCATTAGCGATAGCAAAACCCTTAGTGGGAGGTTAATCATCAGACCTCTTTCCAAAACAAAAACTCACAATCAGAACACTTCCCTTTCCACTGAAATAACGATCTCACCAACAGTGCTCCTGTCTAAGGATTATTAAGGATGGGAGTCCTTAATCATTAGAACCTCATTATTAGCACCCTGTCAAAGCAGACACTGTGCCTCCATTCTACCCAACCTGCTCATTAATGATGAATGGAATTGATAACTAGAATCTATGCCTGGACATTCCCACTTTCCTGCACTCATTTCCTAAATTAAATCAGGATGAGTGCTCAGAGCCCTGGCGTCGAGTTCTAATTTGAATCTGCTGCCTATCAGTCTTTATCGAGCCAAGCGATCAGCACAACATGTCTGCACACACACCCGCTCCATTCTGCCTACAGCTACATCCTGTGTGCGTCTGACCCATCTGCTCTGAGCTGAGAGATTTGTAATGCAATTACAGTTCACGAGGAGGGTCACATGCAGATTGCAGCACGTGCCGCCCCTGGCCCTGCTGACGCCACGCGCTAATCTGAAGCGAGTGGAGGGGAAGCGAAACAGCGGCCTCAGGCCAGACTGGGAATCATCTGAGACAACTGTGCTTACAAAATCGGAAGCTGAACACTGAGCGTCCAGTGAAACTGGAGGTTTGATCAAGCTTATCCTTCTGGCATCAACTCAGCACAACGTGTACCTGGGCTTAAATATCTATGAACGGATTTTTAATAATGCACAAAGAAAGCTTGCACAAGGTTAATTTCAATTTTAAACTGTGTTCGAAGGTTGTTATGAATGTATGTTTGACGTTCAGTAAATGGGAAGGAAAGTCTCACAGAGTACTAATTCACCCTACTGGTTGGCTCAGGACCTTAGTGCATCAACTGGTGCCTAAACTTTTAGCTGATTTGAAATCAAAGATTCCTGTGGCACAAAGTATCCTTCTGGACCATCATGTTTGTCCCAGCTCCCTGGAGGGGCTATCCAAACCCTGATCTTTCCCTGGAGCCACAAAAGCATTTCTTTTCCAAGAAGTCTACTCAAGTTCATTGTGTTTTGAAAGTTACTATGCCTACCTGCCTTGTGGGCGGTGTACTTTGTACTGTTGCAAGTTAAGGTGGATGTTCTGGGTTGAACCAATACTGCAACTAAACCAGCCCCAGTGCCTTTAGAAAGGAGGGAGTGTGGACACCAGGCAAGGAGTGGAGAAAGAATTAGGAGAGGACGCTAAGGAGTGGTTGAATATCCATTGACAATGTGCAAATCAGGAGCATGATGGAAGACTCTCAATGCACCAGGATGAGTGCAGCTTCAACAACACTCAAGAAACTTGACAGCATCAAGGATAAAGCAACCCACTTGACTGGCATCACATCCACTACCTTCAACACCTGCTCCCTTCACCGCTGGCATACAATGGCAGCGACATTATACCATCTACACGATGCATTGCAGTAACTCAGCCATGTTCCTTCACAAGCACCTTCCAAACGTGGGACTTTGACCATCAAGAAGGACAAGGGCAGCAGATACATGGGGACGCCACTAGCTGCAAGTTCCTCTCCAAGCCACACACCATCCAGACGAGGAACTATATCACCATTCCTTCACTGTCACTGGGTCAAAATCCTGGAAATCCATTCCTACCTGCCCTTTGGGTGTACCTACACCATACTGACTGTATCAGTCCAAACAGACAACTCAAAAATCTCCCAATAATCTCCTTCATTCCAAGGACAACTCCAGCTTCTCCAACCTAACCCTGTCATTAAAATCCCTAATCCCTGGAACGTTTCTGGTAAATCTCCACCACATTTTCTGGAAAACTCTCGTAAATCTTTCCTGAAGTGTCATGACCAGCACTGAATGCAAAGCTGTAGCCTGATGGAAGCAGGAGGAGAATGAACCTCTGGGCCATCGATATAGCTGATGGTCCCTACAACAGGTCCACAAAATCTGTTCAGGTTTTAACTTCTTTGGGAAAATCTCACAGCCGGGAGATGCACACAGAGGAGCCAGGTGGTGCAGCTCAGTTCAAAGGGGAGACTATTGAGACAACTTAAGATAAGCTTAAGATAACCAGATTATGGGCACTGTCCATTTCTGTGAAGGGTTTTGAGCAGATATGGAGCATTGGAGCAAATGGACAAAGACTGCTGATGTGCTGTTTGGGACCTCAGGGATTTGAGGAATTGGAAATGCCTTCAATAAAAGTCAGGGCTGAGGTTTAATGCTGATACCTGAAGGTCACTTTAGCTGCAGACCCCTCCATTTCCTCGGTGGCCTCTGGAAACAAGCTGGGAGACACATCAGTGAATGAGGGTGGTTGGGACACAAATCCACATTCTTCTCCCTCATTCCATGATAAACTCTCTTCACAAACACTGATCGAGCGTCAGGCATGTCAACAGGACACATTCCACAGCGCTGACTACAGATGCAGAAACAGATGCTGATGGCTTTCTGGTCTTAGCCACGAGCCAAACAAACAGGACTGAACTGCATACAAAATCTATCAGCTGTCATTTCTCCCTGCTACATTTCGTAAAACACGTGAGCTTTTGTTGCTGTAATTTTTTCCTCCTGTTAAGAAGTTCCTTTGCAGCCCATCCCCAGAATAAAAAGGGACCGTGGCTTCTCATTGATAGTTAACAAGTTCAAAGGGCACTGCATTCTGGGATTCAATCCAAGGCCCCATGACTGAAAATTAAACGCTGCACGTTAATGAGTTGCTGCATTATCGAAGAGAAATGTTAGTGGTAAAGCACAGAAGAAGTTGATGACAATAGCGGGGACAACCAGACATTTTTATCAGGCTCCGCACAGGTTTGCAAACAGTGTTATGTGCACTATGTTTAGAAGGAAAGGGAGCTAAGAAGCCAGAGAAGATGGGGAAAGGATAGAGAGAGGGTGCGGCAAGACAGTAGAGATTAAGTGGACCTTCTGCAGTGAGGGAAGAAAGGCAGCAAAGTCGAGGGAAGCAGGTCAGGAACTCCATAGATGGGAGTGGCTGACCAGGCATGGGAGCACTGGTCTGGGAGAAGGGTAGAAGTTCCCTCAGAGAGAGAAGCCCTCATTGTTTTTGGCATGAGGCAATGAATTCCCGAGGGATGAGGGAGTCAGAAGCAGGTGATCACTGAGAAACCAGAGATACCTGAAAACGACGCAGTAATCGCACTGCACCCCCATTTTAAAACGTGTCAGACCAGAACACGTCATTCACCACAGGACATAGATCTTTGGCCCACCATGTCAGTGCTGCCCATGATGTCACTCTAAACTAATCCTATCTGCCTGCACATGGTCTGGATCCCTCTATTCGCAGCCTGTTCATGTGTCTGCCTAAATGCCTCTGAAACATTGCTGTTACATCAGCTTCTACCACCTCCCCTGGCAGCACATTCAGGCACCTATCACACTCTGCGCAAAAACACTTTCATTGTACATCCCCTTTACACTTTCCCCTCTCACCTTAAACTTATGGCCCCTAGTGTTTTACATTTACACCTTGGGAAAAAGACCCAGACTATTCATCCTCTCCGTGCCTCTCATAATTTTATACACTTCTATCAGGTCGTCCCTCAGCCTGCACCTACACACCACCACAGGTAGTAGTATCGCTGGACTGTTAATCCAAAGACCCAGATAAAGTTCTGGGGACCCAGGTTCGAATCCTGCTACGGGAGATGGTGGAATTTGAATTCAATAAATATCTGGAATTAAGAGTCTGATGATGACCATGAGTCGATTTTTGGGGAAAATCCCATCTGGTTCACTAATATTCCTCTTTTCCAGTTCCTGCCTAATACTGTTCTAGTCATCCTGTCCCCAGTTTAACACTTTCACCTGAGAACCAATAGTATCCTTTTCCATAGCAATCTTAAAATGTACAGAGTTACGATCACTATTCTCAAAATGTTCCCCCAATTAAACTATGATCACCTGGCCAGGCTCATTCCCCAGTACAATGTTTAGAACAGTCCCTTCACTATTTGGACTATCTACATATCATTTCAAGAAGCCCTTCTGAATGCACCTAACAAATTCTGTCTCATCTAAGCCCCTGATGCCAAGGGAGTCCCCATGAATGTTGGAGAAATTAAAAGCTCCCACTGCAATAACCCTGTTGTTTTTATGCCTTTCCATGATCTGCCTACATATCTGTTCCTCTATCTCCCTGCTGGCTATTGGGAGGCCGACAGTATAACCCCACTCTAATGGCCAGACCTTTCTTATTCCTGAGTTCTACCCATGTGGCCTCATTGGATGAGCCTCCAAGATATCCTCTCTTAGTAGAGCTTTGACATTCTCCTTAATCAGTAATACACCTCCTCCACCTCTTTTACATCCCTCTCTATATCGTTTGAAACATCTAAACCCTGAAACGTTCAGCTGCTAATACTGCCCCTCTATCAACCATGTTTCTGTGATGGTTACAACACCGTAGACCCATGTATTAATCCAAGCTCTAAGCTGATCGGCCTTACCTATTATAGTCCTTCAATTGAAATAAGTATACTTCAGACTGCCAGCCCCACCATGTTCATTAACCTGGCCCTGCCTGTTCTTCCTCTCAGACTTACTTGACTTAACATCAACCTTCTCCTCAATTACCTCACATGCTGACCTACTGCTCTGGTTCCCACACCCCTACCACACTGGTTTAAACCCTCCTAAATGTCACTAGTAAACTGCCCTGGATACTGGTGCCCCTCCAGTTTAGGGGTAACCTGTCCTTCAGGTCCTGCCCTGGAAGAGATCCCTATTACCCAGATAACTGAAGCCCTCCCTCCTATACCAACTCACTAGCGATGCATTCAAGTGTATTATCTTCCTATTTCTGGCCTCACTAGCACGTAGCACAGGGAGTAATCCCAAGATTACAACACTAGAGTTACTGCTTTTCAACTTTCTGCCTAACTCCCTAAATTCCCTTTGCAGGATCTAATCGCTCTTCCTAACTATGTCTTTGGGACCAATATGAACAGCAACCTGCTACTGCTGTTACATCTGGGAGATATGAAGCAGCAGGAGGAGATTACTGAGAGAGAGAGAGAAGTGAATCAGGGGAGGAGATCACTGAGAGGGAGAGGAATGAGGCAGGAGAAGGAGATCACTGAGACAGAGAGAGAGATGAGTGCGATAGGAGGAGATCACTGAGAGAGAGAGAGAGAGGAGACAGGAGGAGATCACTGAGAGATTGAGAGGACTGAGACCGGAGGAGATCACTGAGGGAGATGAGTGAGATAGGAGGAGATCACTGAAAGAGAGAAAGAGGAGTGAAACAGGAGGAAATCACTGAGAGAGAGAGAGGAGTGAGACAGGAGGAGATCGCTGAGAGAGAAAGGAGTAAGGCAGGAGGAGATCACTGGCAGGGAGAAAGGAGTGAGACAGGAGGAGATCACTGAGAGAGAGAGATGAGTGAGACAGGAGAAGATCACTGAGAGAGAGAGAGGAATGAGGCAGGAGAAGGAAATCACTGAGAGAGAGACGAGTGAGACAGAAGAAGGAAGAGGCAGCCTCTGCAGAGGGAACTGAGTAAGGATGAGGAATTTGACATGAATTTTTTTTTGGGTTGTGAGCCTATGCATTTGAAAATGGCAAAATCCTGGAAAGCTATTGAATTCCTGACATATTCAAATCAATGGATGGTTAAGATAAAGACCAATCTGTTGAGCTTGTCAGTGATGAAGCAATGGTCTAACTCTAGTTCTGCTGGAGCTGCTAGCAACAAGGAAGGCAGGAGACACTGCAGTGCTAAGGCTCAGTCCAAGATGCACACAGTCTTGGTGAGCAGATTGAGAGGACAGCTTCGGAGAAAAATGGAGTCAAAACTGGATCTTCACAGATGCGGAAGTATCAGCGGGAAAGGAGAAGGAGCGGTACTCGATTTACCAAAGTTGAACTGGAGGAAACTTTGGGTCATTTCGGATTACTTGATGATGGGAGAAGTTAAAAACTTGGTGCCAGTAAACACATCAAATGCAGTCCTGTGTTTGTAGATTGAAACCACCCAGGGTCTGTGAAGCATGAAAAGGAGGGGACCAAAGATTATGTAATATAATGTAACATTTGTTCTTGTATATTACATGAGTCCTCTCATTTATCTTTAGATTGTACTCCCTACACCACTAAAACAACAGGACCTTGATCAGATGGAGTGGCAGACAGAGTTTAATTTAGATAAATGTGAGGTGCTGCATTTTGATAAGACAAACCATGGCAGGGCTTATACAATTAATGGTAAGATCCTGGGGAGTGTTGCTGAACAAAGAGACCTTAGGGTGCAGGTTCATAGTTCCTTGAAAGTGGAGTCACAGGTAGATGGGATAGTGAAGAAGGCGTTTGGTACACTTGTCTTTTTTGGTCTGTGCATTGAGTGCAGGAGTTGGGAGGCCATGTTATGGCTGTACAGGACCTTGGTCAGGCCACTTTTGGAATACTGCGTGCAGTTCTAGCCTTCCTGCTATAGGAAGGATGTTGTTCAACTTGACAGTGTGCAAAAAAGATTTACAAGAATGTTGCCAGGGTTGGAGGGTTTGAGCTATAGGGAGAGGCTGAATAGACTGGGGTTATTTTCCCTGGAGTATCGGAGGCTGAGGGATGACCTTATAGGGGATTATAAAATCATGAGGGGCATGGATAGGGTGAATAGCCAAGGTCTTTTTCCCACAGTGGGAGAGTCCAAAACTAGAGGGCAGAAGTTTAAGGTGAGAGGGTAAAGATGTAAAAGGGTCCTTAGGGCCAAATTTTTCATGCAGAGGGTGGTGTGTGTATGGAATGAGCAGCCAGAGGAAGTGGTGAGGGCTGGTACAATTAAAACATTTAGTTGGTATCTGACGGGTATATGAATAGGAAGGGTTTAGAGGGATACAGGCCAAATGCTGGCAAATGGGATAGATTAATTTAGGATATCTGGTCAGCATGGACGAGTTGGACTGAAGGGTCTGTTTCTGCACTGTATAACTCTATGACAATGTCTCTAAAAAGGGCTGTTAGGTACACAACCATGATCTTGTTGCATAGCAGAATGGGCCAAATGGCCAGTGAAAATCAACTCTGGCCAATTTCTGGGCCCCACTGGCCTGCAGGTTCACTTCTTCAGTCTTTTATGGGATGTCAGCTTCAGAGGCAAGGCTGTTCCAGAATAAACCTTGAACTGAGATGGTTTCTCGGGCCATTTCAGAGATCCATTAAGACAAAACCACGCTGCTGTGAAACTGGAGTCACACAGGCGCCTGAAAAATCAGGGATGGCCAATTTCCTCCCTGAAGTGACATGAATGAACCAGATTGGTTTTCACAAAAGTGGTTGATAGAGTCACCAGCTTTAATAATTGAACTCATAATTCAACAAAGGCACCCAGGGTAAATTAAGTTCAATAATGAATTATAAGAGGAACCTGATAAAACAAAATCACTTCCCCTCTGCCATGCAGGTAGGTACATGACGAGCATGTCCTCACTGGACAGTATTTCAGCTCCTGCACTTATAAAAGTACCACTGAGATACTGGTCCTGAATTTCTCCAGCATTCTCCCTGTCTCCGAAACATCAGAGGGAGGTCAGAGGAATTCCTGGAGAAACAGCAGCTTATCAATAGCGAAGCCACCAGCTTCCCTCTGACCTTACACTGGGGGATTTCTGCGGATATTCGGGAATACTGTTCTCATTCCTGCTTCGGTAATACTCACAGCCTCCAAAGCCTTCAGACCATTCTTAATATTGTTTATTTCTTTCTCCAGTTCAGCCAGGCTGTGTTGAAAGAAACATTTTTTTAAAATTAATCTCGGTGAAAGGAATGCAGAATTCTCAATTTCGCATCGCAAACATTTCCAAGTATCTTACCAAGCCTCAACATTCCTCGACACATTTTAACGCTTGTTTTTTTTCTCCCCACAG